CCCCCCTCCTCTCTCCCCGCCCCCCTCCTCTCTCTCTCTCTCTCTCTCTCACACACACACACACACACGCACAGACCTGACAGGTGGATTGTTACATGCTGTGCCTGCAACAGGCTGCACGGGCCATTTTCAGGCCCATGTCGTTTTCAGCCCGAAAGCCTGAAAACAAGGGCCCACAGGCCCTGTGTCGTTTCAGCCTGAAAGCCTGAAAACAAGGGCCTACAGGCCCTGTGTCGTTTCAGCCTAAAACAGGGCCTTTCTGGCCATGAGTCTTTTCAGCCTGAAACGGAGGGCCATTTTCAGGCCCTCATAACATCGACCTACCCTGAAACTCAGGCACCGGACCAGGGTTTTAGCTTAGGCCATTTTTGGCCTATTTTCAAGACAACCTTTGTTTGAGCTTCAACCCCAGGGTCTGGCACGTTTTGGCATTGGCAAGAGCAGCCTCCTGGACGGGCCGGCACTATATAAGACTGGCCCGCCTTGCAGGCTGGAGGTGGTTCCTAGGTACTTCCCAGGCACTTCACGTGCAGTTCAGGATGCAGGAGGTAGTCTTCAGGATTCGGCAGCAGCACTCTGGAGGAGCGCTGCAGTAGTAGTAGTAGCGCTAGCAGTAGTCTTTAGCGCTCGGCGCTAGTAGCGTTAGCAGTAGTCTTCAGCGCTGGGCGCTAGTAGGAGCTAGAGGAGTACCAGAGAGAGAAAGATTGGGCGGAGGCCAGTGAGACTTACCTGCAGCGCCATAGCTCCAACTTCGTCTTCGAGGTACCTGCAGCGCAGCGCCATCTTCACAGGTTAGTACCTGGCACATAAGAGAGAGAGAGAGAGTTCTTCTTCTTCCTCTTCTCAGTCCACCATCTTCCTCTCACCTTCTCGCTACCTGACTTCACTGCATCAACAGACTACGAGAGAGAGAGAGAGAGAGCTTGGTGACATTTGGATCTAGACTCGACATTGGACTTCAGACATTTGACGAGGGATTATCAGGGACTTATACCGAAGATTGGTGTTAACGACATTCCCATGTCCCCTCTCGTCTTCGTTTGATCCCCTCCTCCTCGTCTGTGTATGGTTTGGACCTGTCGCCTTCTTCCTGTGTATAGCGCCAGGCCCCTTCCCACCTTGTGACAAGGATGATGCATGTTTGGTCTGTATTGCAACATTGATTGGGCTAGTCATTGGTATTCTAGCATTCTGCTGCGCTGTCTTATGTTACGTGAGAGACGTCAGTCCCGGTCAGGTCAGGACTTGTATCTAAGTCTTCCACTGCGCTATAAAGCACCATTTTTGTAGGTATCAGGACGTACACTGATGGTTGAGATTTCACTAGTACTGCATTGTCCATTCAGTCCTTTTTATCACATTGCGGATCCTCGGTCACCCAACTGGGCATGTAACAGTTGGTATCGGAACACCGCACGTGAATCAGGACAACCTGATCTGACACGTGTGCGGGGACTAAGTAGCTGATTAGTCTTGATTGATTGATTAGAGCACACTAGTTAGCCCCCAAAATCACGATTTTCACCTCACTATCGAAAATCATTTTTTTTTTTCTTTTCTTGGATTTGTTTTCCTGCTATTTCTGCTGTGGAAAATTGCAAGAGTGCAACACCTGAAATTTCCGTTTTCGTTTTTCTTTTGAAAATTCAAAATTTCGTTGTTGGAAATCCGGAATATCTTTTTTTCGAAAATTTCGACTTCCTTTTGCAATTTCCAATTATTTGGAAATCCGAATTTTTTTTTTTAATCTCGAAAATTCATTTTCGAGATTTTTAAACTGTACGGGAAATCCCTCTTGCAGTTATCATTTTCCAAACTGCGCGTACTCTCATCTGAGTAAGTCCGAATATTTTCATGTTATTTTATTTTCGGAATTCTCTTATCGGATAATCAGGTGAAAGCTCAAATTTTTTTCCTCATTCATAATTCGCACTTCAGGGGAAATTGGGAGGCCTACTGAACTTGCAAACGAGTATTTTGTTTTTTTTCTCGAATTTTTTTGCAAAGTTCAAACTTAACTTTTTTTATTAGTGGCTCCTTATCTGGGCGATTTATCCTCCCTACCCCCTCCCCACCTCTGTTGCTGCCCCTTCGGGTCTTATCTTCTCTATCTGTCTCCGGGTACCCCCTGTGGCGACATTGGTAACTTGCCACGTCAGCAGGCCACGTCAGCAGCAAGCAGTGCCACGTCAGCAGGCCCCCAGTCCGGTCGATGCTCACGCGCTCGCAAACAGCCGTCATGGACTAGATGACCGGGGAAACGGACGAGGCCTATCAGGCCCGGATGCTGCTTCTGATTATCGAAGCCAAGCAACGGTCGGATGCAGTAGCAGCCGCAACATAGAAGAAGGCGGAGGATGCCGAGAAGGCACGTCTGTTGGCCATCGAACAGCAGCGCCAGTAAGACGAGGCAGCAGCAAAGGCTGCCGATGAAGAACAAATTCAAAGACGCGAGAAGATATCCAACGGAGAGCGAGCTTTGCTCACAATGGCAGCGGACTGGAGGGCCGAGGCCGAGAATGACAAAATGGAAGAGAGTGAAAACAAGATCACTCTACTCCTCTCCCATCTCACGGACCTCCTGGCCACGTGCATTGCACAACAAGAGGACATCCACAACCTCGACGACGCGGTTCAGACGCATAATCAGGTCTTTAACCAACTCAACAGCCGCCTCCAGCAGCTGGAGCAACGACCTGTCGCCGCCCCCGATGACAGCTCCTCCAACACCTTCGATCACCTCAATGCATTGGAGATCGACGTCGGAGCCCTCAAGGACGACACGCAGCTACAGCAAACCGCCAGGCAACAACTGGAGCAGCAGATCTGTGCTGCCGCCACCAACCCAAGTTCGGCACCGCGCGAGACGACTCCAAGGTTCGATGATCAAAAGATTTTCTGCGATTCGACGAAGACGGACCCGATTCCGTGGTTCCGCAAGTTCGAGCTCAAGTTGCAGCTACACCACATCAGTGAGGACAAGCATCACGCATACTTATACTCCCGGTCGGGAGGCGCATGCCAATCATGGTTGGATAATCTCTTGTCCAAGTACGGAGTGGTAGCTGTCGACTTATACACCAAGATCAGTTGGGATGATCTAAAGGCGACATGGCATAAGCGGTTCCAAGTAGAGCCGCCGGAGATCAAGGCAATGGACAAGTTGATGACCTTCGAACAAGGCATGCTGTCGAGTATTGACTGGATTGCCGAGTACCAACGCTTGACATCCGTCCCAGACATTCAAATGGGCTTCAAGGTTGTCAAACACTACATCTTTAGGTCGTGTCCGGCGTTGGGCAACGCCTTGACTCACGTCGAGGACACCCTGATGACAACGGTGGAGCTCTTCGACAAGGCCGCACAGATTATTGTCACGGACAAGGAGGCTAAGAACCTCCACCGTTCGTCTGCGACAGGCCCAAGCAGAGATCAGCATCGAGCGAAAGTGGTCGTGGTCGTAGCGGCAACGCCAACCGACGAATCTAGCGAGGCCGTGCCTGTCAATGAAGGGGACAGACTCGCAGCCGCCCGGGATGGTGGCTGCCCCGGCAAAGGCCGAGGACGTGGCAAGACGAAGACAAACACCGTATCTAGCCCCGGCCCCGGCGCAGCATTTCCAGCCCCATGATCCCACTACGGTCTTTCTGAACAGGCGTACAAAGCACGCAAGAGATTCCGCTATCGTTTGTGGTGTAACAACGATCTCCACGACACAATGGGCTGCCCGTCGAAAGGCAAAGGCAAATCGGGAAACTGAGCACCGCTGGGAGTGAGTCAATGACACTCTCGACGCCTTCGGAACCGATCGCTTCGTGGGTGACCGCCCTTCGTTCCGAGGCACACACGGAAGTCGATAGTCCTTCTCTTCTATATTCTTATGAGGACTATGCTGCCCGGCTCGTTCCTATGCAGGGTACTCATGCTCAAGGACAAGACGTGTGTGCGGCAGCGGTGACTTATCGTCTTCAAGTGGTTCTTCACGGGATTCGGCACTCGAGTTCAACATAAAGGTATTGGACCCGCTCACGTTCGAGGATTTCGCATGACTTCCTCTCCCGACCACGGCCCGCTTGTCGGGACCGCAATGCGCAGCATTATGCGCTCATCTTCACATGTATCTATCCTTCTATGCACCACTAACTTTGCCGACGGATGACGAAGTTGCGGTGGGGGACATCCTTGCGTATGTTACCAAGGTGGCCCGCGAGTTTCGCAAGCAGCGGTACGATGACAACAACGCACCGCTCCTCTATGTCCGCATCCAAGTTGGGCAAGCGTCCTGCAGCGCTTTGCTCGATAGCGGCGCGTCTCGCAATTTCATGAGTCAAGCCTTTATGCAAAGGGCTGGCCTTGGCACACAAGTTCGGAGGAAGGCAAACCCGACGACGATCAAGTTGGCGGACGGAAGGACGCAGCAACTTATCGACCTCTACATCGAGGCAGTACCGGTGTACTTTGCACCTCATGCATGCAAACCGGTGACGTTCAACATTTTGGACATGGACTCTGACATTATTTTGGGAATGCCTTGGCTTGCAAGTGCAGATCACACGGTCAACTTCCACCGACAGACTCTTACCGTTCGGGACGCTTTCGGCGTCGAAGTGTCGTGTACTATTCCTCTTCTGCACCCTTCGATCCGATCCCAAGTGGTGATGGCCAAGTCATTCCGGGCTACTTGCGCTTACGAGTAGCCCGACGCAATCGGCCTATGTTTCCTACGGACCGTCGCGGTAGCCAACTCTTCACCCACTGATTTGTCTTCGGACTCCTGTGTGGTGCGGTTGCTTGACGAGTTCGCCGACATCTTCAAGTCACCTACCGGTGTGGTGCTGGATCGACCAATCTCTCACGAGATCATTCTTGAGGCCGGTGCCGTGCCGCCGAAAGGTTGCATTTATCGCATGAGCGAGGAGGAGCTTACGGTCCTCCGCGCGTAACTTGATGACTTGTTTGACAAGGGTCGGATCCGCCCTAGTAGCTCCCCATATGGAACACCAGTTCTCTTCGTACGGAAGAAGAACAAGGATCAACGATTGTGCATCGACTACCGCAAGCTCAACGCGCAAACCGTCAAGATTGCGGCGCCTCTTCCTCGTATCGACGATCTTCTTGAGCGATTGGGCGGCGCAAAGTTTTCTAAGTTGGACTTGAAGTCGGGATATCATCAGATTTCGATCCGGCCGAACGATCGCTACAAATCCGCGTTCAAGACGTGGTACGGGCATTTTGAGTGGGTGGTCATGCGACTCATGCCTTTTGGCCTCACCAACGCCCGAGCGACCTTTCAAGCGGCAATGACCAACAAGTTATGTGCAATGTTGGACCGGTTTGTGCTGGTCTACTTAGACGACATTCTCGTTTATAACCGGACATTGGAGGATCATCTTGAGCACCTCCGACGAGTCTTGGAGACGCTCCGCCGCGCCAAGTGCAAAGCCAACCGCGACAAGTGCAAATTTGTCCGGCAAGAGCTGGAATACCTGGGCCATTTTGTCACACTGGAGGGCACCAGTCCACTTATCCTTCCAAGGAAGAAGTCTCCTAGGACGAAGGTGAATGTGCTGACAGAAATCAGGAGCTACATCGTTGACTCTGTAGACGACAGTGAGGAAGTGAAAGATGAGGCAGAAAAGCTCATAGAGGCGATTGAGAAGAGGAATAAGGGCAAAAGGGCTACAACCGACAAACATGTGGAAGCTGCAAGCACTCGGAAGAAGATTTCACCAATGAAAGGAAAAGAGAAGCAAGTCGAGGACGAAGGGTTTGTTACACCACTGAGAAAACCCTTTGCTGCTTTTTGCTTGAGTGAAGGCATGGTGGACTATGCTCTCGCACAAGTGAGACTTCTCAACAACCTCAAATTGCAGGAGATTCGTAAGATCTGAGATCGAGAGGGGGTTGAGTACGTAGTCAAAGACCAGGCTGTTGAGGAGCTCGCGAAGAACAGGACCAAGTACGCGTACGAAGGCTTCAACGAATACAAGGGTCCAGCGGTGTCGGCATCGAGGAACGCAGGAGAATATATCACAAAGAAGTGAGACCCCCATGGGTCCGACATCATGCGAAGTACCGACGAGATTCCAAGAGTTAATGCAGTATCGACTGGAGAGAGAAATCGCGGGGATTAGACCCTTGCTATAGAGGGATGTCGAGAATGAGCTAGTACTACTTTTTTTGTTAGTAGCCATTAGAGTTGCAGTGCCATGTTTTAAGAAATTGTTAGCCTTTGTCGATCTGACTGGCTTAGACATTCAGCGTGCTGGGGTTTATGCCATAGTCCGCCCCTTCTGCAGGAAGATGTATGTAGGATGTACGATTAGGTCTGTCATCACGAGATAGGCCAAGCATATCCGATGTTCCAACCACGGAAGTAGGGGCGACACACCTAGACTCCATAGCTGGCTGCGTTTCTTTGCCTGGCATAAGTATTTGGCCATTCCTCTGATCGCAGGATTTGAGGACAGCATGGCAGCAGAAGGAGCGTTGATTCGAAGGTTCTCACAAATACTCAACACTATCGGGAAGGTGAGACAAAGATCTAGAAAGAAGAGAAAAGAGAAGAGGGAGCACGACCACATCAGCACACAACCTTGTAACACAGGCTTACGTATCCTTTACATTCAATCTAAAGGAGTACTACTGAATCTACTCGAACATTGCAAGGACACTACGAACGCTCAAGTAACTACCCACGACGAAACTGTGCTGATATACTCGGGGAAACGAATCAAAGAGAAATTTGGACGATCCACCCTGACTTTTACAGGCATCATGGCGAGATTGAACCAATCCAGAACCAAGATCCACGCAGGATGTAGCTTCACGATAGAGAAAGTGGATATGGTCTCATCAACGATCCAATGTCGAAAGCGCTTCCTGCAAGACTTGTTCGCACAACCATGGAGAATGAGGGACATCTTAAAGCACCTGGCAAGAGACTAGCCGCTCTTTTTCGTACTGCTGCTCTCTTCTCAAGAAGAAGTACGCGATCTGCTACAAATGAAGTTGACACGTGTTATTCGTAGGAATTTCGGTGTAGATGTACGGAGAAGGTTGGTAGTAAAGATACCCTTCTCACCAATGATCGATATGATGACAGTAAGGAAGATAGTAGTAAAAATTATCTTGAATTCACTGACGGAGGGTGCATTGAAAGACCTGATCATCGACATACTAAGAATTGTAAGGACCAGAGTTAAGACCGTAGGGGATGTGATTCACAACTTTAGACAGAAACTGAAGGAGGGTTCTACCCCAGAGTAAAGATCGTAGGGGAGGTGATTCACAACTTTAGACAGAAACTGAAGGAGGGTTCTACCCCAGAGTAAAGATCGTAGGGGAGGTGATTCACAACCTTAGACAGAAACTGAAGGAGGCTTCTACCCTCTGCACATGTAAAGACGACGACCTGGTTCATTTTCAAGGACACGTCAGAATGAGGTTAGGAGAGATTAATGATGTGCCTGACTTTGTGAAGAATTCGAAAAACTCAACGTGTGGAAATACACCGCACACGTTAGTACTGACTATTGCCATCAGGCAAGCATTACCTACCAAGTGGAGACAGACGGGCGCACCGATCATAAGATCGGATATCTCGACATGCTTCACTCAGCAGGTAACAGATACCAAAGCTCTGGCCGAGGAACACGTACAGGCCGCAGTGCGTCCTTTTTCACATCTCATTTTGGTACTGCTCGATCGCAATCCGGGCTCTACTCTCTTGATAAGCCCGGTTCTATACTTTCATGCCTTCTGTATGACCTTTCGCTGGAGAGCGGGATTCACACACATGCGGGAAGATGAGCGGACGATACTGCGCGCAATGAGGGATGAGTATATGAATGAGCGATTCCATGAGCTCGCCCTGTGGAATACCATGGGCAGACTTGGGAGTGCCTACGTACTCCCGAAAGACAAGGATCTGACCAGGTGGAGACCGATATCCCCATCTTGGTCAGAACCAACGAAAATCGCCAGTGCAAGACTGGGAAGGGCTTTGAGGTACATGTTAGTGTGCCTCCCTGAACGATCACACTTCAGCTTGAGGGGAACTCATGAGCTGAAGAAAACGGCCTTACACAAACTCGATACACTATAGGCGAAAGGTGATATGATCCTCGCACGCAGCTACGACATCAAAGACATGTTCTCAAGGTTACCGCATGAAGATATTGTACGAGCAGTCGATTGCCTCATCAACTTGCACCAACCGAAGGGTTGATAGCAGTAAAGATCACTTTCAGAGGAAGGATCTGCAAAATGGCAATGACCACAAGGAGAAAAGAAGGCTATGTGAACCTCACTTTCGACAGTTTGAGATCGATGTTGATCTTTGAACCGTCAAGCACATTCACAGTTTGTGAAGGAGAGACCCTGCAACAGACGTTCGGCATCCCTATGGGGAAGTGCTCTTCTCCATCTCTTGCTGCCGTTCTGTGTGCATGCGCCGAGAATCAATTTCTCAAATCTCTCAAGTAGTACAGGTCTCTAGTCTTTGGCTTAAGAATGTTAGATGACGTGTCATTATTCACTGTTTACAATGTAGCCATGACGACAGTAGTCACCGCGCACATTGCATAGTGGATAGCTACGAGACTCCTATCCGGACTCGCTAAAATTAGTAAGGAAGGACGAGGGCAACAATGTTTTCGATTTCCTAGGATGCAAGATCATGGTCGAGTCCAGACCACCAAAACTGCATATTTTTCCTAGGACTAAGAATCTCCTCTACATCAGGACACACCAAGAGCTACATTTCCAGACAATGCAGGACTATGGTCAAGAAGAATACTTTGACGGATTCCATGCTGCGTATGAGTCGACTCTCCACCAATGAGGAGGCTACTTGGATCGCTGTCATTTCCCTCCTCAAAGAAACACGCCTCCGAGGGTACCCCTCGGAGGACTCTCTCAGATCCTTGGCCAGATTCGCCAAGGTGGCAGGATTGTCGTGAGGGTTCAACGGTCCCAACAACGGACATTCTGCCACCCTCCCTCTCCATCTCCGCAGAAGCACAGAATTAGGAATTAACAAAGAACTGATTTCACAGCGACCATGATCTCCTTCTGCAAGCAACTGATTAGACCAACGGTTTTTTGGGGCGACTATACCAGTGAGTGAACAGGATCACTGACATGGCACCTTCATAGGGACTGGCAGACCATATAGTCCATTACAGAACCTCTATGTTTTTGTTCACCGGTAGTCGCATTTTGCTCCGGGGTCTGTTTTCTGTCTGTTTTCTCGATTAAATACGGACTGTCGCAATCTTTTTCCGTCCTTTTTTCGTCCGTACATTTCTCCCGTATTTTGCTGATTCTGGGAATGTACTTGTGAGAGAAAAAAAATATATGGCCACATGGACCAAAAGCACGAGGGCAGGAACAAGGGAAGAATGCAACGTGCGAAGGGGTTATCATGACCCTCTCCCCTGACAACGCAACAGCCAAGACCATAGAACCTCCCGATGAGGAGAAGACATGGGCACTAGGTTACGAGACAGGATCATGGGAAAATTATTTAGGAGAGTACGGCTGATTCATTGCGTGGAAAGTAGTGGGGTGGATAACTGGGTTTGGTGGATGGAAAAACCTCCTGAAGAGACCCGGATGCGCATGGGTCGAAACGCGTCGAGGTCGAGTGCATGAGTCGGTGTTTGGAGTATAAGATTTGATCTGAATGATTATCTTTCATTTCATTTTCATTATCTTATCCTCCCTCCGAGTGTACAGTGTGTATACCCCTGAACTCTCTCTCTCTCTCTCTCTCTCTCTCTCTCTCTCTCTCTCTCTCTCTCTCTCTCTCTCTCTCT